CTTTTCTATTTGATTTTACAGAATATGCTTACACAATGCAAGTCACGGCACCAGGGAATGTATACAGCTATGGGGTTGTTTTACTCGAGATCCTCACGACACGGCTGCCAGTTGACGAGGCGTTTGGGGAAGGGATTGATCTAGTGAAGTGGGTGCATGGTGCACCCACAAGAGGGGAGACACCGGAGCAGATTCTTGATCCGAGGCTGAGCACAGTCTCGTTCGGCTGGAGAAAAGAAATGCTGGCTGCACTCAAAGTTGCATTGCTCTGCACGGATAACACGCCGGCTAAACGGCCCAAGATGAAAAATGTGGTGGAGATGATGAAAGAAATTGGAAAAAATTAGGTGTTTCTTGAAAAGTGTGTTATTTTTGACAGTACATTTGGAGAATTTGTTTCAGTTTTTTCTTTCATACCAAACTCAGGACGGTAAGGTAGTCTGAGAATATGCACAAAAAGCTTATTAGTAGCCATTATGCAAGATTACTTACTCTTGAAATGATTGCTAGAACTAAATACATGAAATATTAAAATTGGTACACGAAATAACCGATGTAACAAATGTAACTTCTCTAAAAATAACAAATGTCAATCGTGTTTGAGAAAAATAACCAATGTAAGTGTTCTTCGGTTTTATAAAAAGACATTGGTAGTTTTCATATATCATTGTTCTTCGGTTTTATAAAAAGATATTGGTGCCCTTATTAGTTGATTTATAATTTATCAAGCTGAACTAAAATACTTCATTTAATTTACCTGTCAATGTGAAAATAATTTGATCTAATGATTAAAAAAAAAAAACCAATAAAAATGACAAATAAACATTCATACATGCCAAATATTCTCAAAGTTCATAAGTAACAACAGTATTTCTCAAAAATCATCCTAGTACCAACAACAAACCAAATGTAAGCAAGGTTTATTTCATTTTCCTAATGAAGTCGATCAACCCTCACTCCGGAACTTGGCGAACGAATTTTTGAAAACCTTTCGGAAGTAGGAAGAGCTATAAATCCTCAATCTCCACGTTTGAATATGGCTCTTCTTCAACATTCAATGCCTGCAAATCACAAAAAATACTCTCAATAACCTATTTTAAATAGGGTTCTTTCGAAAAAAAAAATGCACTATAGTTGAGGTTCATTTTCATTTAAACTTACCTATTCGAACGAGTCAACAATTTACAATGTATATCGAGCATATATTCCTCATAACAATGTACTCACATGCCTCACCTCCCACTTGTTTGCAACACTTGTATGAAAAAATAAAAACATCAGTTATAATACACAAACATCACAGGTGCATCCAAAATTATGGAAATATTGAAATTGTGAGCAAAATCTAATGGCAACAGCTGCATCAAATTTTCTCCTCAATTGAATTTACTGGGTCAGTGGCTTTTGAGGAACATTGAAGGGGCATTGGTTCAACTTGATTGTTGTTCTGCAAGCCGAGCCTCCTGCTGAAAGAATAAGACACGGTTAGTAGACCATTAAGCAAGTAATGACGTACGTATTAGTAGGCAAGTTTAAAAAAGAACAACTAAATAAAGGGGGTGCAAGGAACAGAATGGAAGATAATGGGAGATGGAGATAGTTAAGTACTTGTTGAGTGAGCTGAGCTGAGGAGAGAGACTTAAGTTGAGAACTTTGCATGTTGGAAAGCAGTTGGACTACAGTGTTGAGCTGAGGCACACTACAAAATTTTCAAGCATACCAAGTTGAGAAAATGAAACCAAGACGTGTGAATAACAAAAAGTAAGAAGAGATAACAATTTTTATAACAGACTCTCTAATTTTCCTTTTTTGTACTCTAGAAATCAAAATGGCCAGCAATAAACACAAGCCACTTTTCTTATCATCAACAGCTAGCTTAATAGATACTTCTATTAAGGTAGCGCAAGTTACATACATATTTGAGTTTCTTTCAACTCAAACTAGCTCGTTTTCCTTTACATGATCTTCAGGTGCAATGGCAGATATAGATACCGAAACCAAGATAAGGCAACAAAATATTTTATGCAAAAATAATCAGATACAACCTCCGCAATCCATTTTCCACATGTTCATCTAGTGCTGAAATCACTTGAGGCATCTGCTCCAGTACCTGCACCAAACCTTGCGAAATTTTCATTAGCTTTTTTTTTTTTTNCTTTATATTATTTAGATTACCTTTACAACAAGATCTAGGATATCAATTACCATCTCCGTATTTTTTATTGTCGAGGTCTTGGCTAGAAGGTTTTTCGGAAGCTTCAATAGCTGGGACTGCAAGGACATCATTACACAGATCAACAGACTATAAGTTAAAACTTGAATATCCAGAGCATTGCAAAAAAGAAACAGAACAAATTAGCACATGATTATTAAACAATGAAAATAAATCAAATCTTTTCCACTCAGGTGGAAATTGCAAACTAATCATATCAATCTTGGCCTTGTGATTTTATGCTTATGACATTATATTGCTTCTTACGTTCTAACCCGTCCAGGAAAACTTGCTTAAATGGTATATGGCCTTAATCCAAACCAACGACAGCACAAAGAGAAAAGCAATTAATCTCAGTAAAGCCTATGACATGATTAAGTGCAAAAACTAATAATTTGATGCTTCATAGTATAACTAACTTCAGCATAAGAAAGAGAGATACTGACGTGGGACGGGGATGATTGCCTCATGAGGTGAAGGATATTGGAGGTGGATTGTATGGACTGAGATATCTGATCGGCCACTGTCGATTTTGCCGATCCTTCTCGGCTGCTGCTGCCGCTTGACGCAGCCATCGTGGTTGTTTCAGGTGGAAGAAATCTTTGTAAACTGCCAAAAATACAAACTAATGTGAAATTTAAAAAGTATATGAAGCATACTCCAGCCAAATGGTTAGGCATCATAATAATCCTCTCAAACTAAATTCTAAAGTAAAAAGAAATTTACAATAAATACCAAAAACTGCAAAAAACTTGCGAAAACTAGAATAACTAAATATATAAACAAAGAATAAAAATTTGCAAAAACTATTTAGTATTCAATAAGTAGTGTTTTTGACAGTTCCCTTTAATGTATATAGTACCCTAAATTCCTTATGCCATCTGTCCATAGATGTTTTGTAGGCTTCCCTGTTTACCTCCATTTCTTCATTTCCAACAAGTTAAACTACTTTCGTAGCAAGACATACACATTGATATCAACTTTTGTTTATTTACCATTTACTTTCATGAATGATGACAACAGACAACTCTTCACCACTACCAAACAACATCAGTTAGATCAAATTACATAAGAACACAATTTAAACCTTTTAAGATCCAGTGAGATGTTCAGTTAGGAATCACGAAAAGAGGCACGTACTAAGTATCAAATCAACAATTCAACACAACCAAGGTAAAGAGATCCAATTTTAGAATCAACCAACAATTAATCTCCAAATGTCAGAACAGCGAACAGAAGAACTGCTCCTAATGCTACATGCTTCCACAAGTACACGCAAAATCAAACCCAAAGTGTACACAAGATAAAGTCTTCAACAAACAGGCATCTCGTCGACAATCTTTCGTACCAGACCGGAGCTCAAAAATCAAATTAGGTATAAAATGCGACAGCTCACACGCTCATGAAATTGAAACCCTAATATCCAACTGTCCGAGCAAAAATGACATCTCAGACACACTAACATGGAAATCGAGAGCTTACTGTTGATTAAGAAACATGAAACAGCGATTATAACGTCTTCGTACAAGGAACCATTTACATACCTGGAGAAATCTCTACTGGCGATGGATCTTTCAAAAGCAGGTGAGCTGTCGATAGGAGAAGAAATGGAAGAGAAATGGAGTTTATGAGAGTCCAATGAAATCGTCAAGGTCAACATACGACGTCGTTTTCGTATTTGTTTCATTAAAACCTAAAAAACTATATATTTTCTTAAAATATAAGGTTAATTGCCAAAAAAATCACAACATTTTGCTTAATTGCAAATAAAATTCAACTTTTTAAATTTTGCAAAAAAAATATAAACTTTTATTAAGTATTGCATAATTGTCTCAAAACTTTATGCAATACTTAATAAAAGTTTGTATTTTTTTTTGCAAAATTTAAAAAGTTGAATTTTATTTGCAATTAAGCAAAATGTTGTGATTTTTTTGGCAATTAACCCTAAAATATATTATTTACTATATCTTTTTGTTAATATATATTTAATACAACTAATGCAATGAAAAAATAAAAATAATTATTATTATATGTTTTTACAAAAATACATTCACTCTCATATTTTTAAATTAAAAATAAAAATAATTATCAAGGTCATCATTTTTATATATCACAATAATTTTAATAATTACATGTTTATCTTATATAAATCACAATTTCAAATGAATATAGTTTTTTTAAAAATATTATTTGGCTTATTTTTCACCTCTATTTTTGAATGAGATGATATATTTTTTAATAAAAGCCATATAACCTACAAATTCGTAGTCCTTTTAAAAAGCAGGATTCAAAGGAAATACTTTTACACAACTGTTTATCATACTAAGATCGCGTTCGTTAATGAATTCAACAATACAAATTGCTTCACTTACTAAGAACGTCCATGCACCATCACCCATAGAATCAAGATACAGTTCTTTGTCTGTGACACATTTACTCTTTTTTTCTTATTTTTTCCTTGAAGGAAAAAGCAAAAATACATTTATTTATTTATTTATTTATTTTTTTGTCTAAGCTCCAACTTATCCATCAGAATTACATACATATATATCATAATTATTTTAGTACTTTTCACTTTTTATTTAGTTCAAAGATCTTCAATTCTCCATAAGGGAATGTAGTACTGGACCGTGGACCCAAGACATTGAAATTTACATTTTTTTTAACCTAAAACACAAGTTATTAATATTGTTTACCCAAGACACAAATTATCATATTTTACATTTTTTACAGAATTATAGTGTACATATTGTTTGTTCTCATTTTTTGCCCACTGCAATTAAGTTTGATCCACATCACTTGTAGATTTTTGGTGCTCTTTTTCTTTTTCCCCCATAAAAATCCCAAGTGCACATACTCAAATGAGACCGAACTCAGATTGGTTCAGCTGAGGCATATATGCTTGCTTTTTCCCGAGTCTCATATCATATATTTCTGAAATTAAATCTTTTATTGAATAAACTTCCTTCAATAATGTCCACTCTTTACTTTTTAGTTTTTACACCACAATATCCACATCACAAGAGAAGATAAATACACACAATTCCTTAATATAATTTAAATTTTTATAAGAATAAATAAATATACATATAATTGTTAGAAAATAAAAGATAAAAACTGAACTCCATCTTTTGTACATGAGGAGACTTGTCTAAACTAATGCACACACAAGAATCTCAAGTCTTGCTCCAAAAAAAATATGAAAAAAAAAAAAGAAAATCATATATATGAGAGGAAAAGCTCGAATACACGCCCACTCGTGCCTCCCGCGTAAACACACCAAAAGCAAAGAGTACGAAAAACATTAAACGGGCTTAGACAATCAAAAAACCTCAGCCGATCAGAACCACAACAAATGGCATCCTTAGCAACGCGTATATAGCATGTTTGAGAAAATGCGTCCCACACGTGTACAACAATGACATCATCTTTTGTATTAATGACATCATCTTATCGAGAGGTATGATAAATAGAATGTGGAGCCCGAGACACAAATTGTGAGCTACCTTGAGTCGAGCTTTCAGATGCAATACATAGAACTTCTGTTTTCTTTCTTAACAACCGGCAGCTTTCAAGAAATTGTCATAAGGACTTGAAGTCGGAAGCCTGAATGAGAGGGGTCGATTCTGATACTCGGCTGCACACAGTGGTGGAGATGGGCTCGGTTTCGGTAGGTTCAGATCAAAGAATGGCTGTTGTTCCACCTGTCCATTTCAGTTAAAGGTGACAAATAAAAGATTAAACTTTTTAAAAGGGTATTCTTGAAAGGAAAATAATAATGAGTTAAAAAAAAAGGGTTTTTGTCGAAATGCTGTATCTTTACTTTTGGTGGCCCACAAGGAGAAGGAGTCGTAAGTTTTTCTGACTCTCGGGAGTTTTGAGAAGATATAGTCAACAGGCTACTTTGCCTGTTGGGATTAGCGTTTATTAAGACAGACATTTTTTGCTGTTTTCCCACCAATAGCGATTCACAGTGGTTAGCCATTTCTTTATAGGACGCGTTTGGGGCCGTGCTCACGGACATTCTTCCCACGTGATGAGCTGTCTCCAAAACCTACACACGGTCCACATGAAAAATCTTGGTGAAAAAAATAAACACTTTTATTGTATTTGAAAAAAATATTCGTAATGTATGTAAACTATTACTATGTGGAAGATGTTACAAAATTGAAGGAGAACAACTTACGGATTGAAGAAGTTGATCGACACTCAGAAGACTCGGGAACTCAATGGTCAGCTTTGAATTTGGCGGGAAATTACTTTCGGTTGAATCTTGGTGAAGATCGTCATCTATTCCACACATCGAGACTGCCTGCATAAATCAGTATTTGTGCAAGAAATGTAATTAATATCTTGAGGAAACAGAGAGCTGCAAAAATCTTATCTTTCCTTTGTTCTTTATTTTTGTGTATTTTAAAAGTGTTTTTTTACCGTTTCTAATTTAGGTTTGTTGTAAGAATCCCTTTGTCGTACTTTGACCGGGCTATCCGCGAACAATTGGCCACCGAGTGAACACAAATCGTCGGGAGTGAATTCCTTGAGCAGCTGTTCCTTCATTGCAGGTGCCTCACACTGCACAAAAAAGAGTAGCACTACTTATAACAAAATACAAACAAAAAAGTACCCTTATTTGTCTTTTTTACTTTTTTTTCTTTCTGTTGATTAGAGGATGTGATTTGAAAATTTACCTCCAATAAATTATCTAAATTTCTCACAACAACAGTGACAAGGGAATCCTTCGTCTGGCTCTCGTTGTTTTTTATTTCCGAAAGACATTTCAGAGCAGAACTATCGTCTTCCTTTGATCCGTAAACGACATGTGGATTTCCCAATCCAATTTCGCTAACCTGCAATTTTGAATCTTCGACCAAACACAAAAAGGGATCAACCTGAAAAAAGTTCAAAAATGATATTCAGATCATTTGATACATTTTTCTTTCATTTTTTTTTTTTTTCTTTAAGAAGGGATCAATGAGGAATGACTATTAGTGATTCCAGCAAGTTTATTATAAATTAGTAGCTGCAATCAATTAACTTTTGCAATACATTAAGAAGAAAAGACAAAAACTGTGATTTTATGTAGAAAAAAGGCAGAGGAAAAGCCAGTGAAAGACAAGTAAGATACCACTTTATCAGAGAGTGCAGATTTGACGAGCGGAATGAGAGGCGAAATGTGGTAAGCCTTTGCTAAGAAGATGATCATTGAAGTCGATAATACAAAGAGGGACCTACGGCGCGATGGAGGCAAATTTCCTGAAATTAATGATAAAAAAGTATTTAAAGTTAACGATTAATAACTCCCTCATAAAATTTTTTTGAGGTAAAATAGTTCTGTTTAATTTAGTATCTTTAACCCAATGTCATAATAGCTGCAAGGCGATGTAAGAAAATTAAATGAAAGTCACCCATTGAGTGTTCTTTAAGGCAAAATCTCAACAAAAAGAAACAGAAAAACTGATTTTAGAATTTATATTATGTTTTTCAAGATTTTCCATAACCAGATGGTAATAAATGACAAAGCGACCTTGTAGAACAATTAACGTCGAATGTAAAGGTTTGGAAGCAAAACTAAAATATATCTGATCATTTGAAGGTGTCTGCTAGCTTAATACCTCCTTGAGCAAGAGAAACACTCCTGAGCGAAAAGGCCAATTGGAAGCTTTTAATAAGGGCCTCGCGAGAAGAATTCTGAGCGAAAATTGAGCTTAAGTTAACCTGAGAGAATAAATCTAACAGGAAAAAAAATTCATGCTTATTACAAAAAAATACAGAAAATTATCGAGCCTGTACTCACCTTTGCACGAGCAAACAACAGAACCAAGCTGTACGTGTGGGCAATAGCTTCATAGTTTTCAGGCATGTTTGCTGGTGACATTGATTGTGCCCAAATGGATGAAAGCAAAAGGGTTATTTGGTGACTGCTCAACCTAAGAGGAACAGCATCCTGAAATTTAAAGAAGACACAGTCTAAGCTCAACTCACTTCAACTTTTCACACCATTATACACGAAATAAGAGAATATAAGACTGTGAGCCATATTAGTCAATTTACAAATTAAGCCAACCAAATAATAAAAAATGAAAATGGAGAAAAGAGATATGTACCACTTCTTTGGTCAACTTTGTGGCAGAATCAGATTCTGATGAAGGTTTGAAGCTATACACTCGAGTATAAGTCGACTTAATTCTGTTCATCACTCCACTAATTTGATTTTCGTAATTCTGTTCTTCTTGAACTCCTCCCTTGGGAGGAGGGGTCCTATGGTTCTTCAGCTTCTCGAAAAGTGCAGCCGATGAGGAAAATACCGAAACAGTCCTCGATAGTGTTCGAGGGAATACAATGTTCTTAGTCGAGGAGGAGTCAGAAGAAATTGGTGGATCTGATTGAGGGCAAACCGAAGATGGCACGAGCACAACAGAGAATATCTGATGAGCTCCAATTCGCGTCTCGTGATCTGGGTGGAGCATAGCTGGAAGCAACTGGTGAAACAAAGCCTCTGGGAAAGCCTAATGAAAAATGTATAACAACAAAATGATGATAGTAATANTAAAAAAAAAAAAAAAAAAAAAAAAAAACGGTGATAAATTTTCGAATGGGCTTACCTTGTTTTTATATGATAAATTCGGCAAAGAAGCTATAATCTGAGCAGTTCGGTAGACGGAGGCAATAGTTGTTCTAGCTATGACAGTAATGCTCGAGATATTCTCTAGCATTGAAGCCATCACATCAAGAATTGGCCCGGCATCTCCAACCTGTTTTTAATAAACGAAAATGCAAACACTCGAGTAACTGTTTGTAATATTATGGGGGGCAATTTGTCAAATATGCCAAAAGCTGAGGGGTTGAGAGTAGAAAAAAATTGTACCTTTGACGACAACTCTGTTAGACATTCATCCACGACTTCATGGAATTTTTTATTCCACTTAATTACTTCTTCCCCAAGATTTGCATCGTCTAGAGAAGAATGTATACTTTTCCTTAAATGTCTCATGACATCACTTAAAGCGCTCACTATAGCCACAGATGACTGAGTCCTCGTGAGCCGAGCAAGAGCCGTGACAACCTGAACAATGTCGATTTGCATGTTGGGCTGCTTTAGGACGTTTTTATGGTCGAGATGCTTTACTAGCATCGATAGCAAGAAGTGTGTATTTTGCCCTGCACAAGACAAAGAAAGTAGTTACTTGTTAGGTCCCTGTGAACATGAACACTTCAAGAAGTGCTATTAGTAACTCAAAAGATTAAATCTTGATGTGTTTTGCAATGAGATCAAATCTCAGGGATCATTTTACAATTGTTTCTACTTGTTAGGTAGCTATGAACACTTCAAGAAGTGGTATTAGTAACTCTAATGATTAAATCTTGATGCGTTTTGCAATAACTCCAGATCAAAGGGGTCATTTTACAATTGATTCTTTAGAAAAGTTCGAGTAAGCTGACCCGAATCATCCATCCATTGCTGCATTTCTTTGAGAACTGGAAAAGCAATCCCATTCTCGAGCGGCCACTGATTCCCATTGTCCAAATACCGAAACAAAGATTCCAAAACACGCCGCATAGTGGTTGCCTCTTTACCAAGATTGGCCATGTTGTGCAAGCACACTCTTGACCAAAAACACGGGTTTTTGGCATCCTCTCTGTGCAGAAATTACAACAAAACCGCGATTAATTTTTTTTTAGATAACCCAAAGAAAACATAAAATAAAATAAAAATCAGAAAAAAAAAAGACATTACTCGGTCACGTTAAGTTGTCTTCTATCATCAACAATCACTCTCCAGGAAAGCACCTGCATTGAAACATCTGGAGCAGGAGAGATGATGTGTCCCTCGGTTTTATGAACTTCTTGCAACCATCGATTTTGATTTGAATCACAAGACTCCTTACCTTGACCTTTGTAGTTTTCCAAGACTACTGAAACAATCTGAAGAAAATGGAATGAAGAGTTGGGTAAATTTAATAAAACAAATCTAGTAAATGGAAATAAATTAGCTTAGTAAAATTTTGATATAGAGCTTAGCGAATTATGCTTACATTGTCAAATTCAACTGAAATATGGCAGTTTTCACCCATAAACCAAACCTGTACAACACCAAACACATAAAACTATCAACCAGACAAACTAGACAAATGTGCACATGATTCGGATAGAAGGAAATTAAGGATTTTAAGTCAGCTAAAGGTTAAACCTTTAATGTGCTTATCCATTTTGATTTGTTTGATAATTTATTGAAAGGTAAAAGTTCTAAGGGGGCGATTGGATATTATTTCAACAGTAAAAAAATCAATCAAAACTCAAATTTAACTCAACTTTAACCCAACTCACTATCTCCAATTTTATCAATATAATTAAATAATACAACCAATCATTCTTACACATCACATCAACTATAATTCACTATTCATCCACTCACATAATTTTAACTAACCATCACTTCCAATCATTTTTTTCTCCTACTTTACATCAAATCAACTTTAATTATTTTATTTAAATATTAATTTAATATATCCACTAACAACTAACCATAATTTTTTTTTCAAAATTAACTATAGTTAAAACCAAACCAAATAAAAACTAGTTGAATTTATAAACAATCACACCCTAAATAATTAAGAAACCAACCCAACAGACTTTCCAATCCTCTCGAGGATCATTTAAATTCTTCACATAGGTACGTAAAATCTTTACTGATAAGCCAATCAATTAAATCTTTTGTTCCTTAAATAAATAGATCCAAACACAATTCAAAATAAG